GGTATAAGTCATTATAAAAATTGTTTTTTATTGGCCTCTAAAAAGTATTAACTTGATATACCAAGTCCTTAAAGATGGGTTATACGAGTAGCTATTATTGCTTACTTTAACAGAAATACTTGGCATAGATTGATCCAAATCAATATCATCTAATGGTAGAATACCATTTTCAGGTTCACTGTTCTCAGTTACCTAAAAAAAAATTATTAGTTATAGTCATTCATAGAGCAAGTTACATTCTATGAAGTCGTTAGATAAGTTATTATTATTTAAAAAAAAAAATTTAGTTACTTTACGTAGGATTCTTTTTATTTGAATGTTTGAACTAGCAGAAGTATATGAGTTAGTCTTGAACACCTCTTCTTTAAGTTCAAAAAATATCATTTTTGCCTATAGGTAGTAGATAGGTAAAGAAAAAAAATAAAAAAATCATGTATTTAAACTATTTTCAATAAAATGTATGACCTTAGAACTTACACATTTTACCCTAGATATTATTATTGTTGGAACAGCATGTTTTTGTAATATTCTATATCGATTATGAACAATAAAAGACTCTGGTTTAAAATGACAAGAACATATAACACTATTTTTATCGATGTCTTCCGGAGTTCGGTTATTACTAATGATAAATTCTTTCCATTTTTCCAAAATAAAACTTTTCGAAGGAAAACTAGATCAATTATCTTGTATATATTTACCACATATTTTACTAAAAAATAATAAGTCATAGGTACCTGTGAAAAGTAATGTTTTCGGATTTAGATTTGCTATTTCTTGTTCTCCCACAAATGAAACAACTTGGCATTATTAAAATTTGACTCAAATACCAGTTAATTAACGAGAATTTAATTTAATATAGACAATATGGAATGTAGCTGCTAATTACAAATTCATAAATTGCAATTTGTAGAACCATAAAGTAAGTACCTACTCTTCAAAATTCAAGTTCAAATCGAATACAAATCACAAATTCACAAGATAAGTCACAAACAAATAATAATACAACTGCATGATAATATTATGATAAGAGATATTAACACATACAGTATGTCAAAAATTAAAATTAAATGTACAATTTTTTTTTTTATAGAGGTCAAACTATAAAATGCACGCATACACACAGACCATAAAAATTGTCTATAAATATTGCTCGATAATTATTTGACCGGTCGACTATCATATCTGTTAAGATAACTTTAACTAGTCGTCCAACACTTAGAAACGATAACTTAGACAGATTATGCCTACAATAATATTAATAATAATACGATATTGATTTATAGGTCAGCTTATATCGTCGCCCGTGTTTCGAAAGTGCGATTGTGTTCGTTGTAGTCGTTACTCGTTGTACCTATACGTGTTTTTGTCACGAATTGCCCGTTTATATTTTAAGTTCTTTTTTTCGCTCTCGTTGACATTAGGCGGTTTTGAAAATTGTCGTCAGGCAATGTATACTTTGGTATCATGTCGGAAACTGAAAGAGAAATGAGTACCTGAGGACGGTTTTTTAAGGAGCTTATGAAATCGGTGGAAGGAAAAAAAGACAATCATTATAATAATATAATTTTTGATTTTCTCAATAGTTATTTAATGCCACGGGGAAAAACCACCTACAAATTATGAAAAACCGCTAAAAATGGGATTTTAATTTCTATCGCTATGTTTAATACCTTAGAAACGAATAAAAAAAATAATGCCTATTATAATATAAATTCAACTTACAGGATATAATAAATACTAATATTATCCAGACAAACCGCCTCCGCTCAGAATCGTTTTTCTTATACAATGATATTATATCATTGAATTCAAGGTTAATACAATCCTTTATACATTGACCCACTTGTAACCTACTGTACAGCAGAGCGACACCCACTTACCCACTATTTTTATTTACTTATTTTATAATTTTAAAACTATCAATATTTTTCGATAACTGTCTAATTATTTTTCAGTTGGACAAATTGTTAAAAAGTCAACTTTTATAGTTAAGTATAAATAGTTCATACTATTCTTATAGTATTATATCTATTATTAACCAACAAATCTAATAAATACAATATGAACAAGGTTTATTTCTTTGATATGTTTCAGATACCTCTTTTATAGGAGCAATTAGAAAAGAAGCCCATGAAAATTTGAAAAAACAGGCAGCCTGTGATGACTCCATCCGAAAAAATTTTCCCAGTGGTTGATGTTGGTGTCAACGTAGTAATCCGCATTCTAGATATTGACAAAGGCAAAACAGATCATCCTAATCTCATCGGATTGGTGTTAGAAAAAACAGAAGACCATCTATATAGAATTGGAAGTAAGGATGGAATTCTAGAAAACTTTATTGTAGGTGCTTTAATTATCACATTTTCATACACCAAATAAAATAAAATTAGTAAATAGTTACTAATCAGTAAAAATTGTTTCATAAGTGAATTTATAACATGCGAAGAAAAATTCATCACACAGAATCAAGTTCCAAACAATCATATTTCCCTCAGTACAGCCGCAACAATTGCATCGACGTGGTCGGGGCAAGGTCAAGGTGCACATGTAAAACGTCCTGAGCAAATCGCTGCTTGTGTGGAAAAAATAAAATACTATGCAATACTAATTGCCACGATAGTTTGTCTTGTAAAATAAATAATATAATAAATTCCTATAGTAATTATTCTAATGTGTACTTATATTTCTTACTTCTAAATTTATGAATTTTAACTAGATAATTCTAGTTTTCACGAATATATTTTAGATACAACTAGTTCTAACAAAATAAAAATAAATTAAAACTAGTTTTGACGGTGATGGTCATAGTAAATTCTAGTTTTAACTAGTTTTGACTAGTTAAAACTTGTTTCAAAGGATTTCGGGTTTTAACTGTAACATATATATATATATCAATAATATATTTTAAAATGTTATCTCATCGAAAATCAAAATTATGAACCGTCAAATGCAATATGAATCAAAAAGGCTGTCGGAAACTTGGAACTCATAAGTGAACACCAACTGTAAAGTGATTCGTATATAGTAATTTTAGGTTTTTGTCCGAATTATATGTGGGCACGAAAATGTTTATATTAGTAAATACTCTCGATACTAAATTGTGGTGTCCCTGCTGAACTTGATAACTCATAATAATATAACCGACCACAACGACTGGGTTTAGTAGACATTTAAAAATAATGATTAAGGTTCTAAATAGATTTGAACTCGATAAAATGACAATTGTCGAGTTCATTGTTTCATTCATTATACTCTGATACATTCATGTCTGATGATAAACTGTTTTGGGTATTTTTTTTGTTGTAAGGAGAAGTTTTGATACATAAACACATACATTATTAGAGGGTGCTAATTTTAAAATTGGGGGTGCTAATACCCCCTAAGCCCCTTCCCCCTCCTATATGCGCCTATGTGACAATTTGTACACATTTTGTAACTGAACTAATTTGACTAATACTGACTAATTTTATTTATATTTAAAATTCGGGAACCATTCGAACAGTTGTATACTGTGTAATGAGACAGAAAACCCCTATGTTACATCTCTGAGAATAGCGAACGTAAAGTATTCGTTATGCCTTGTTTACACGTGACGAGTACTCGGCCGAGAGAGTCAACTCGGCCGAGCACTGTCCCGTGTGAACCCAAGGATCCAGTACTCGGCCTAGTAATCGGACGAGTAAAATAAGCGGGCGAGTGAATAGAAACTGTGTCTATTCGCTGGGCCGAGTGACTACCCCCACTACCAAGATGTATGGTACTCGGCGTGTGTAAACCGCTAGCCGAGTGTCGTGTAACGAGTAGTTCAGTAGTTGTGAATATATTTCAATATAATATAGTTGGGACGTCTCAACCTGTAGTTGTATTTTTTTCAACAAAATTATTTATTTAGTATGAATCGTCATCGTAAAATAAAACGATTTTTCAAGGATTACGTAAATCAAATCTCTCCGATGATGATAGAATTATTGGAAGATGAGTTACATAAAAGTATAGACAAGAGGAGGCGGATTTGGACCAGAAAATGGATCTTACGTCGAGGCACACACGGTGCTTCTGTTGGACTTCTTAGAGAGCTAGCAAGTGAAGATGTTAACGAATATAGATCGTTTATGAGGATGAATGTTGAACAATTTCAACTGATTTTACAAAATATCTCTGATAAAATTCAACGATCAGACACAGCAATGAGAGAAGCCATATCAGCAAAAGATAAGTTACAAGTAACTTTGTCTTTTTTGGCAACAGGAAATAGTTTCAGAACTCTCCAACATATTTTTCGAGTGCCTAAACCATCGATATCCGCCTTTCTTCCTGAAGTTTTAGATGCTATTTACGACTTCTTAAAGGATTATATTAAGGTAAGGAAATAATAAATTATATTTAAATGTCAGAATAATGCAACTTGTGATACTTATATAGGTCAAAATTAAATTATATAAATCCTTTTATAAAAACTTAATAGATAGGTAAGTAAAACAATTAAATTATATAAATCCTTTTATAAAAACTTAATAAGTAAGTAAAACAATTAAATTATATAAATCCTTTTATAAAAACTTAATAGATAGGTAAGTAAAACAATTAAATTATATAAATCCTTTTATAAAAACTTAATAGATAGGTAAGTAAAACAATTAAATTATATAAATCCTTTTATAAAAACTTAATAAGTAAGTAAAACAATTAAATTATATAAATCCTTTTATAAAAACTTAATAAGTAAGTAAAACAATTAAATTATATAAATCCTTTTATAAAAACTTAATAAGTAAGTAAAACAATTAAATTATATAAATCCTTTTATAAAAACTTAATAGATAGGTAAGTAAAACAATTAAATTATATAAATCCTTTTATAAAAACTTAATAAGTAAGTAAAACAATTAAATTATATAAATCCTTTCATTAAATCTTAAAAATAAATAAAACAAATCCAATTTTACTTTTTAGTTTCATAGGCATTTTAAATTATTAATATAAAAAATTAATTTTTATCACTGGCTATATTCTAATGTGGAGTTGAAAGTTTGAAAAATAGCTTTGTGTAACAAATCATTTTGATTATCATTTTCAACAGTGTGAAATGCACCTCTTGATCCTTCAGACATGTTGGAATATGACGTCTCATATCCCGACGAAACTGATGAGGGATTCATGTATGATAATGGTGTTGATGAACGTTTTTGACTATGCAGTTCTTCAATTCCCATTTCAGTCAAAATGTTTTGAATTTTACTTTGCGCTCTTAAAGATGTTTCTAGGGAAAGAAATTTCTTCAGTTGCATTGCAACACTTTTCCCAAACATATCAAAAGAATCATCTTCGGGCTCAGATTTATTGATCGCATCATGTATTGACTTCAAGTCAGCTACAGCACTTAGTACAGAGGCAGTTCTTTTTTTTTTAGTTTGACTAGGTAACTGTGTAGTAAAACTTTGGCTTTCCGGTAATTCATTAGTTAGTGCTTCTTCAGTTGTTTCAGTGCTCACATTTTGTACCTCCATGTTATATTCGAACTAATAAAATAAAAATTGTAATGACACATTTTTTTATAAATAATCAATTTTTGATTTTTATACAATAACCTTCAACTATTAATACTTATATAGAAACGTGTAAAACTATTTTAATAATTCATGTCATCACTTACCACTAATTTTATATATCATAGAAAAATATTTTCTAAACCTAAATAAATGCTGTCCCTCACACAGAATATTACTATGCTCATTAATCAATAACAAGATAAAATTGAATATAATATGACAATAAAACATTTTGTTTTAGGTTCCAGAAACTAATGAAGAATGGGGAGTTTTAGAGAATGGCTTCCGTACAAGATGGAATTATCCCGGATGTTATGGTGCCATCGATGGCAAACATGTCTCAATTCAAGCTCCCAACCAATGTGGAAGTGAGTTTTGGAACTATAAGGGAAGTAACAGTATAGTTTTGATGGCAATTGTCGATCATGATTATTGTTTCCGTTACATAAACGTAGGAGCAAACGGAAGGAACTCGGATGGAGGAATATTTAGAAATTGTTTAATTTATCAAAAACTTGAAAATAATAATATATTACCTGATGGTGGATTTTTAGTCGGAGATGACGCTTTCCCACTAAAAACCTACCTATTGAAACCGTACTCACACAGATCTCTGGCTTATGACGAAAAGATATTTAATTATAGACTATCTAGAGCACGCCGAATAGTAGAAAATGCTTTTGGTATACTAGCTAGTCGATTTCGAATATTCCATAAGCCTATTTCAACCCGGCTAGAAGTAACCGATAAACTTATTCGTACTGCGTGCACTTTGCACAACTGGTTAAGAATGACAAGTGGTATTACATATTTGGGTAGCGGCACTGTAGATGTAGAAGATGAAAACACGGGTGAAATTTTTGAAGGTACATGGAGAAGAGATTTTTTCATGCCAAGTATCGTTAATACCGGATCGAACCATTCAGCTAGACAAGCTAGAGAATTGCGAGAAAGATACAAACATTACTTCACTCATGAAGGTGCAGTTCCATGGCAAGATAGAATGATCTACTAAGGTGTATAGTTGTTTGATATTGTGTAATTTTATTACAATAATTAAAAATATTAAAAAATTATGTCTACATCTCAATTTAATTGTAATTCAATTTTGTAAAATATGATTTAAAAATAAATATATTACTCACATTGTCAAAAGTTGTTCTTGAATCTGCATCCTTGTAGATTGGTTCAAGTTCTTTTAGCCACTGTATATTTGACACATAACAAGTATCAACTCCACTCCCGGATTTCTTAGATTCCTTTATTTTTTTAATTTCCTGAGCATATGTGGAACGAATATTTTTTATTTTTGTTTTTACTTCTGGAACACCAAATCCTTCTATTGCCATTGCTATAACGATACTTCTATAAGCCGATTCACGCATATGTTTATTTTTGTAAGATGAAGATTTAAAATCCCACAAACAATCATGCGATTTGTACTCTTCAATAAATTTGATAGTGGTTTTACAATCCCACTTTGTAGACATTTTGTTAAATGCGTTAACAAATAAGTAATAAACAGTAAAACAATTTAACAAATTAGACAGATAGGTAATTGTATTGATAACAAGTGTTGACAACAATGTGTTGATAATAAGTGTACGAACTACTACGTTGCAATCGGTTTGCGGTTTACACACGCCGAGTACAGTAAAATCTTGGTAGTGGGGTAGTCACTCGGCCAAGCAAATGCAATGCGTGTAAACGCTTCTCTCGGTCAATTCCGGTACTAGACCGAGCAACATAACGAGTGACACGGCCGAGTACTCGTCACGTGTAAACAAGGCATTATTCTTACTTGAGTGTGTACCGCCGCGCCGACAGCCGATCAATTAGGTACTATAGTCTGTCTCACGAAAGAACGGGACAGTTTCGCGCATGTAGACTGATTTGATTGGTGAGTGGATAACCACGTGATCACGCTTAAAACGAAAAGTTGGTGGGGAATGCGCGGCGGCGAACGAGTTTTGGTCGGCCGCCGGTCCCGTTCTCTCGTGAGACAGACTATAAACACAGTCGTTTCTGTTGACGAGTGTGGCTGGTACGCGCGACAGATGGCGCAGCACTCGCTGCCCTTTTCGCCGTGCGCGCATAAGCAATAATTAAAACGTCAAAACTTAAAGCTAGTAACTTAATAAAGTTACTAGACACTTACAATTTCCACCATCAACAATCCTGAACCGAACACATGCCGAAAACACAACGAGTTGATGCGTAAAGTCGATGAAATCTAACACACAGAAATCACCATTATGATTATCAACCGCCGGCGTGTACGTCAGCAAATAGAACCCGTGGCAGCCGGCAAAACCAACTAGCAGTCCGCCGATATTTATTCGCGCCGTTACTCTACCGTGCCTGGGACCTCTACAGGTTCAAACAGCACGGTCGAGATTCGTTTCGCTTTCCGCCGCTATAGTCCGCCGTTGTCCCGTCCGTCGTAGTGTGCCGTTTAACTCTTTTCTGTATGTGGGGCCTCTTTAGGTCCAAACAGTATACAGACAAGAATCGTCGTTCATATCCACCCACTCCACGTTGTGTCTGGGGCCTAACTTAGTAGGTCCACACAGCGTACAACTGCGAGCATTCCCCCCATAAATTGCCGTTACCGTCATGGACGCCGAGCCATCGCTGCCGCCGTCCGATTTCGTGTACGCACCCATACACTCAGTACCTGAGGCCTATATACATAGGTCCAGACAAGTATAACAACGAGCAGTGTCCGTTATTTTGCCGTCGTGGACGCCGAGCCGTCGTAGCCGCCGCCCGACCCTACATTTGGGAAATCCGTTTAGCCAGATTAAAATTCGTTTGTGTCTGGGGCCTATTCCTATTTAGGTCCACACAGCACAATTACAAATATCGTTATACCGCTGTCATACGAGAACGCCGAGCCGAGTGGCCGCCGTCCGTATCAAACACCGTCGTATCAGTTTAATTATCATTGTTAATAATACAATAATAATCGTTAATCTCTTATATTATAAAACACAAATAGTCTCCGTTTTTTGCCACCAGGGGCGACGCGACAAATAAGGAATTCCGCGTTTCTTCCATGACGACCAATCATAATACTTCTCGCGCGTTCGCTAAATTTTCACGTCGCCGCTCGCTTATCTCCCTTTTCGTTATCGACGATTGACGTGAATATTTTCGAATATTATTTTCCCGAGTTATTCCGTATTTCTATATATTATATAATATAATAAAAATAAAAAAGTGCGTGTGCGATTTTTACAAAAATTGTGATATTTCCGTGTGTAAAATATATAAAATATGTAAAACGTAATATTCAGAAACTGTTCAAGTGTTATGTAAATGTCATTATTATGAATTTTATTATCGTACCGTTGTGGAAGCCGCCATTCAGCCATTCAGAATTTCAATAATATTAAAAATATAAGTAGTTTGAATGCACGGATTAGATAAGACATTTTTCACGAGTATTGCAGTACATTTAACTATTATAGCTAAGAGTTTTAGTAGGAGCTTGGTGTGTCGATTGTTTATGACAATGTCGTTACATACGTAATAAGGTAAGTAATAATAAGTAAATTCAATACATTTCAATTTTTTAAAACATACATGTTATGTAATATTATTATATTATATACGAGGGGTAATTACAGAAAGTTTGTACACTTACTACAAAGATTACCTATGATTACCCATGATTACCCCCAAGGTGTTTACCCCTCGATTATAATATACTAATATTGTATTACCAAGTTTAATTACTTCAATTCATACCTTATACCTGTACTAACCTTTACATTGGGTTACACGTATTAATTTTTTGCAATATTTCTAACAAATTTCAAAACAAGAAAACTACATTTACATATTATATGTTATAAAATTATAATAAATTGAATTTAAATTCCTCCAAAGGTGTAAAACTATGCTTAAAATATTGTAATATTTGTCAACATTTTTATTATGTCGTTGGCATGCAAAAATGTATTATACATGATTTATATATATATTATATTAATAAATACATAAGTATCATTTATATTCTACTTTTTTAAACTTTATTATAGGACAACTGTATGCAGCGTTTTCCCGAGTGAGGGACTCTCAATCCATAAAATCCATTAGAGTTGCTATGTACAGTGATGGCCGTGGTAGATTCGTCACTAAGAACATTGTGTACAGAGAAATTCTACAAGCGATATAACTGTACAATGAAGTCTACAAGAACTTAATGAACATCGAATCCGATCTGTGTGACACATGGTTTATAAGCAGTCGTAAGTACGACTCGCGGAGGAGAGAAAGTTCGACGACCTCCACGTGGTTCTCTCTGGATGCGGATTTTGTAATGAATACGTAACTGATGTCGAACATGCATTTAACCTGGCTGCGACTCGCACACTAGATGGTAAATTATTTAGAATTATTTATGTACTCTAAAAATATATCAGCAGATATTTGTATGCATTTGTATTATTTCAGAAACATTATACTAAAAATGACTATCAATGCAGATGTAACAGAAACAGAATCATTGTTGTACTGCTACTAAGGCATAGGGGAAATTCGACAACCTCTACGTGCTACTCTCTTGATGCGGATTTTGTAATGTATTTGTATCAAATGTCAAACATGCATTTAGACTGACTGCGACTCACACACTAGGTGGTAAATTATTTAGAATTATTTATGTACTCTAAAAATATATCAGCAGATATTTGTATGCATTTGTATTATTTCAGAAACATTATACTAGAAATGACTATCAATGCAGGTGTAATAGAAACAGAATCATTGTTGGACTGCTACTAAGACATAGGGGAAATTCGACAACCTCTACGTGCTTCTCTCTTGATGCGGATTTTGTAATGTATTTGTATCAAATGTCAAACATGCATTTAAACTGGCTACGACTCGCACACTCTGTGGTAAATTATTTAGAATTATTTATGTACTCTAAAAATATATCAGCAGATATTTGTATGCAATTGTATTATTTCAGAAACATACTAGAAATGACTTCATCAATGCAGATGTAGCAGAAACACAACAAAAAGATTCATCATTGTATCAATACTGATTACTAATTTGCAACTAAACCATACTCTGATAATCATAAGAATTACTACAGCTAACACTTAATTATTATTCATTGTTAATGTGTAACTGATGTAGCACATACACACACATATATATATATATATATGTATATACACTTAAATTGATTAATAGTAAGTTTCATACACAAATTATTATAATTTCAAAAGCATATATTATCTACTATAACCAAGGTTTGTAAGAAATTTTCAATTTTGTTGTATGTACAATATGTTTCATTTCTACGTATTGCAGTCGACGCACGATTCAATTAAATTTTTTTAAACATCATTAAACTACACTATATTGTATGTTTGAATTTGTATTGCTTAACAATGTCTTTTATATGTAATAAACATAATGAGGTATGATTAGATATTTTGCCACCGCAAATAATTTTCATTGAAAAAATATTATGCAATTACTGATTAGTAATACCTAATTGATTATACATTATTTGTAATTTAAAAAAGGTGCTCTGCTGTACTGTAGGTTATAAGTGGGTCACTGTATAATGGATGGTATTAAATTTGAATTCAATGATATAATATCATTGTATAAGAAAAACGATTCTGAGTGGAGACGGTATGTCAGTCTAGGTTAAGACATATTATATACATATTACATATATATTGTATTAAAATAAAATTGACCTATAATAAATTCCAAATTAATCATATCACAATATCCATTAGGTACTTATAAGCGTTATACATCAACAACAAACCGTGATACTATCATAGATATATAAATATAATAGTACATTTTAGAAGTTTCAAGTACCTACGAATAATATTATACAATCACAACAAAATAACTAAAATAGTTATTCTAGGTTTTTTCTTTTTTAATATATAATTTCGTCCAAATTTAAATTTAAAATGTCTGTAAAAAATAACTATGTTCATATATTTTTTAGATTTTTTGGTTACAGTATGAACTATTCATGAGAACCTCTGTTTTAAATTTGCAGTCCTTAGCTATAAAAACTGAACATTTTATAATTTATTAATTACAATGATTGATAATTTTCGAGATTTTGATAAATTTTGTCAAAATTCGATCTTTAAATGCTTATAAAAAGAAATTGTGCATATGTATTTGAAATATTTTTCAAACTGATATTGTAACAATATATCAGGAGCGTTGTATTAAATTTTTATACTTTTTGACCCAACAGATAAAACTTTATTGATATTTATAGAAAAAAAAACTAAAAAAATCGAAAACTGAAAATGTCCGTAAATAGCTCAAAAAGAGTCAAAATATTTTCAAAATTGTATAGTGTTTAGAAAATGCTAATATAAACATTCAGTGAAATTTTCATGTATCTACAGTTATTCGTTTTAGAATTACAACAAAATAACGAAATCGCTATATGAGAAATCGACTGAATCTCCAATGTTGTAAAAAT